CCCCCCCCCCATATTTCCGCATTTCTGCAATTTCCCCTCTTGGAATTATTACAAATGTTCAGAATTGCACACGCAAACCACCAAAGCCGTGCTCTTCGGGGGTCGGATTTATTTGCACGGAATTTATTATTAAATTATTACAAATTTAAAGAGAAGAAGTTTTTTTTTTTTTTTTTTTTTTTTTAAAAAGTTAAAGAGAAGAACTGAAATTATCACAAATGTAGTAGTACCTAGGCTACCAGCCGGGCCGCCCGGGTCACCCTATTTTCCCGGGCGGCCCGGCCGTGCAAGGACCAGGGAAGGTCCGAGCAAAAAAAACAAAAAACAAACAAAATCCAAAAAATCCGGAAAAAAACTATGTTATGCAGAAAAAATAAACTGAACAACTTTTGCCTTAGGGTCACATCGAAATTCTTTTCCCAAATTTTAAATACAATTTTAAATAAAAAAATAATATTTATCTATTTGTTTATTTTTGTCCGGGCCGGGCAAGTGGACCCAGGCCACTCTGGTAGCCTAGAAATGTACAGAATTTCCTAGCCATTTTTTCCAAGGACTCAGCCGTGCATGTGCCGTGTTCTTCGGGGGGTAGACCCCCCCTACCGGGGCAAAATCGCTCGCGGCCCCAGACAAAAAAGACGCCTCCCTCGTGCCCATTCAGCTTCTCTTTGGCGCGCAGGGCGTTTTCAGGCTCGGCAAGAGAAGGGTCAAATAGTACAGGTGGTTCAAACCACCATTTCATATCCCCACCCCTTCCCCCCCCCCCCCCCTTCCCCCCCCGAAAAAAAAAGGGCCACCAGTTCGCATCAGCCTAGTAAACCGACGAAGCTGCCTCCCGCCGAGGCTTGTGAGCCTGGAACTGCGGCTTTCCGAAGACTTAAGTCTCCTGCGGCTTTCACTACCGGTGAGCCCCCAATAGAAAATGCGCGTTCTCGAATTTTGCAATATATGAAAAAAAAAAAAAAAAAAAAGCTCGTCCTACCTATGTATAATACCGGTGAGAGCACTACATAGGCTCCTGTGAACTGGTGGTGGTTTAGTCACGGTGACAGCCTTTATGCAGCCGGCTAGCCATTGCTACAGTGCGGCGACAGGAAGTTTCCACTTGCCTGGACGATGATTCCACTTGAATGAATTTATTCCGGTGCCCCAGGCCCGTTCATCCCAGACGGTCGTGGCGCTCATGTGGCCGCAACTTTCGGTTACTTCCAGTGGTTAGAGCCACTAGTAGGAGGCGGGCCCAGCCTTGGTTAGAAACCCTGGGCCATAGCATATGGTACCAGCCTCGGTTAGAACCAGTTCGGTTACTTCCAGTGGTTAGAACCACTAGTAGGAGGCGGACCCAGCCTTGGTTAGAACCCCTGGGCCCTAGCGTATGGTACCAGCCTCGGTTAGAACCAGTGGTACATGGCCCCAGCCTGGGAGATCATGTTTCACGCGCTACGTCAGTACCCGGAAAAGTTACTGCGCCTCGGTCCTTCTGGATCACAATGGCTGGTGGCTCCAGCCAAAAAAGGAACAAAGTGCAGCGATGGCGGTATAGCGCAAAGCTTGGCTTTGCGCACAGTGGAGAACCTCCAGACCTGTGGGTGTACTGGTGGTTTAAAGCACCAGTACTGGCGGTATAGCGCAAAGCTTGCAGTCAGGGTTAAACTTTAAGTTTGAAAATGCACTTTAGGCAAAAGGCATGGCCGCATTGGCCGGTGATGGCTCCCTCACCCCGAGGGGCCGCGCAACTCTTCTGAGGGACGTGGGGCCCGTTTCCCGGCTTCGAAAAAAAAAAAAAAAAAAAAGTTGTTCACAAAAAAAGAAACGCCTGAAAATGTTTGCGTACACAAGCTAGGTTTCGGGTCCGGCAGGGTCACATGGGGGTGTGTTTTTTCGGGGCAATGCCTGAAGTACGTTTTCAAACTGTTTTCGTGGAGTAGCAGTGAAGGCGCAGGGATGGCATAGCAACTAAATCTTTGATGTAAAGGACATTATAGCTGTAAGGGACATTATACCTGTAAGGGACACTGGCCCTGGTAAAAAGAGAAACAGTATTTTATCCTTATGCAGCACGGCTGTTCGATGCCAGAATGACACTGGGCGGAGCGGGGGTGCTGGCCTTTAACCTGCTGTAGGTGGGGGCGTGAGGCGTGGTATAAAAGGATGTCGGTGTCATGACCCTGGAGAGAAATTTAAAGAGAAGAATTGAGGAAGGGCTGCCTGGCGCAGACAGCTGCAGCACGAGAATGGTGAGCAAAGATACACCAATTAGCACACTCCGTCATGGACACAAAATTTAATGCAATGAGAATATCCTAGAGACCTGACAATCACACCACAACCTCGCAGCCAATAGCCAAATGGGAGCTTATGATGGCCAATAGCCAATAGCCAATAGCCCAATAGGTCAGATCTGGAGCGAGTAGTGTTGAGCTGGAGCAAATCGTGTTGAGCTGGGGCTAGTGGTGCTGCTCTGTAACCTAGCAGGTTGGGGCATATGAGAGACCTGGATGAGCCTGGCAGAGAATATTAGGACAGTTTCTGTGAGCTTTGTTTGGATCTGTTACAGGTGTACCTGGACAGCAAGTTGGGTTGTATTCATTGCCCAAAACTGCAATTTGAGACTGTATCTTGGCCTATAGTGCAATAACTCATTTTTTGTGACTCCCGCTTAGCATCCCCTTGAGGGGGTAACTTCAGTGGAGTCACAAAAACGAGTTATAATTGCACTATAGGGCAAGATACAGTTTGCAATTGCACTTCGAGCACCGTACCTTGCCAATAAGCTGGGTTGTATACATTTTCCAAGCTGCAATTCGAAACTCGGAAGCTGTATCTTGGCCCATAGTGCAATTATAACTCATTTTTGTGACTGCCCATGTCCGACTGTTCAAACGGGGAAATCCGGAATGAGTTGGTAACCCAAAATGGAAAGAAACAAAAGAAGGAAAAAGACAAAACAGTGTGTTTGGCCAAAAAGTGAGGCCAGATACACTAGAAATTGAAAAGATCACGAAATGTGCAAAAATGAGAATGAATCGTT